CACACGCTCTTCGAGTTGTGTATAGCGAATTGACTTACCGTGAGGGCACAGGTGCGCAGCCCGTAGTTCGTTTGTTTATGATGTGGTTCGGGAAGGGTAAGGTAGTGATTATGCTGTATGTATGTTTTGTCATGTTTGCTATACACAACTCGAAGAGTGTACACAACTCGAAGAGTGTGTGTGCGTGGGGTCCCGGTTGGTGCTTTATTCACAATGTTCATGGTACGCTGGACCCAGTTTCCAGCAGGTGGCACTTCCCATCAATAGACACGAGAATGTATGTGCGTGCGTGTGTGTGTGTGTGTGTGTGAGAGAGAGAGAAAAAATTTATGGACCTGGGAATTCTCGGAAAAAAAAATATTATGGACCTGGGAATGAGCGTCCTACCAGGCAGCGTGAATAGGCCCTCGCGGTGATGGCTGGTTCCACTGCTTCCAACTGTGAAAATCTTTGAATGCACGTCATAATGCAGAGGGTTATGCGCTCGCCATGTGGCTGGTGCTGGAATGAGGCCCTTGCCGTACAGAGTGAGATAGAAAAAAGTCCTCTCGCGCTATTCCGGTCACAGTCATGCCAAGGCTAGGTCCCACTTGCACGAATCAAGAGATAGAGACCGCAGATAGCCGAGATCAACGGCCGAAATCTCCTAATCCGTGCAAGTGGGACCTTGCCCCCGCGTAGTCCGAGTGCGATGACATCCTTGGACCTCCTTTATACTCACCGTAGTTGATAGGGCTTTTCGCGCTCAACACCGAGCCTTTACCCAGCCTTGCCCTAACCAATCCGACCTGTTGGCATCGAGATCCTTCTTTCTTCGAAGTTACTGGCAGTCCTCGCTGGCTTTGGACGAGCATATATATCTTGACCTGGCAACTAACCTGAAGCTACCTGAAGCTCGAAAATCGGACCGCGCGCGAGCGAAAATAGCAAGAGCTGGTTGTGCCTGGGCGCGCCATTGAGAAGGGGAGAAGCTTCGACCATTGTGTCTGACGATTGGACGGTGCCTGGGCGCGCGAGGAGGCAGATCAGCGGGAGCTCGTGCGCGCGCTTGCGAGGTCGATACGTGGGCGGGAACTCGTGCGCAGGCGTGCAAGGTCGATGCATGGGCGGGATCTCGTGCGCGGGCTTGCAAGGTTGATGTCTGGGCGGGAGCTAGTGCGGAGGAAGCTCGTGTGCCCCGCGCCGTCGTCCGCGCGCGAGCAAACGAGCGAATGCGGTGTTTCCCTGTGCCTTCGATATGGTCATTGCTCCCGCGTGGATGTCGGTCATCCCGCCAAAAGTGATGATAGAAACGTTGAGAGGGTGGTGAGCGCATGCATGACCATGAGGGAACGATACAGAGAATGAAGATTAGCATGGCCCCTGCGCAAGGATGACACGCATAAATCGAGAAACGGTCCATGAGGGGAAGGGGCCCAATTTGTCGGAAGTACGAGTAGCACGTTCTGATCTGGCTACCTTAGCTTGAGTCACGTGGTTAATGTGGGTTGGCTAGCGGGGCGTGACCGATTATCGCTGTGCCGAGGGCGCTTTTTGGCGGGGGCGGATCCGAGAAAGCCCGCACCTATGTGGGAGAAATTGCGCGCGCAACATGCAGTGCAAGGTTGGGAAAAAAATCAAAGCTGCTTAGTGTTGAGCGCGCGTCGTTCCAGGCGAATGATTGTGGAGGTGGCAGAATAGGCGCCGCGTTTTAGCGTTTTTGGGACCATCGACAAATAACTACTTACGCTGTGATTATATCCCATTGTTGTGGTACGGAGAAGATATCCCCTTGTTGTGGTTGATGGGAAGACGCGGTTTACTACAGTATTACATCAGCATTGGCGAGCTCAGTCCTCGCTTCGGTCAGTATTCCCGATCTTACGTTCATGGACAGTTTACACGTGTCATTTCCCGACGATTCCCCTTGAAGCTGACGTCTGCGTTTCTGACGGAGAGGGGAAAGCCGCGGGGAAGGTGGGAAGGCGAGCAAGGCATAGTGGGGGTGTAGGGTGGCCCATCCGAGTCGTTGACTTCGAAATCGACCACTCTGTGTGTGTGTGTGTGAGAGAGAGACACACACACACACACACACACACACNAGAGAGAGAGAGAGAGAGAGAGAGAGAGAGAGAGAGAGAGAGAGAGAGAGAGAGAGAGAGAGAGAGAGAGGCAGGAAGACTAGAGGTTGTGCGGTGGGTGTCGTGGACGTGTGAGGGGGAGCGATGTCGAACCCCATGTTTCCCGCTGGAGTGAGTCCAGAGATGTTGAAGTTTGCGCAGGAGCAGATGAAGAGGATGAAGCCGGAGGATATCCGCCGCATGCAACAACAGGTATGTGTTTCCCCGCGGCTTTGTCGCACCGAACAGCAGGATATCTGCCCCACCCACCTAATTGAAACGCTTACGATATTTGCCCTCGCATGTCTCCGTAAGTGTAGCATGTAGCTGAGTGGGAAAAGGGAGAGAGAGAGAGAGAGAGAGAGAGAGAGAGGGAGAGAGAGTCTTTTTTGTAGCTTGCGTGGTTGCGCGAGAAGTTGAATTGTCGTCTAACGGAGGCAATAAGAGTCCACATGTTGGCGAGAAAGAGGACTAGAAAAACAGGTTATTCTGAGAGTTAGTGATTCATCGCGTAAAAAAAAAAGAAAAAAAAAAGAGAAAAAAAAAAAAAAAAGAAAAAAAGAAAGGAAAAGAAAAAAGTGACTGATCGCGTTATTCTATGGATCTACCTCGATTGCGGGACAAGTGACGGACGTAAACGGCCAACGGTCGGTGTGTATAGATGGGCAGCGTGATGGGACTTGGATTGCTTAGAGAGAGTGGACACGTGAGTGCCGTCCAGGCAAAGTGGATTGGAACCGCGTTAAACCATTGACGCACCTTCTCTTTCATTTTTTTTAAAAAAGAAATAAATATGTCATCTCCAGCAACAGAAATAATGTTTGAAAAAAAAAAAAAAAAAGATGTTTGCTCTTTTCGGTGGGTGCTTCAAAATGTTTCCCTTTTCTTTTTCGGCATTCAAAATGTTCTTTGCGCGATGGCAACGATTTTTGGGACTTTCGCGCCAAAATGACTGTGAGTCCGCGATGACAATACGGCCCGCTAATTGGCCGGGGACTAAGTCCTACTACCGCTTTCACCTGAATAGAACGCCCTTTCATTGTAGTTGTAGCTGTATTCGGTGCGACTCTCAGACTAGATACAGCGATAATGACCGGGCGTTCTATTCGGGTGAAGACGGTAGGAGCGTTGAGTTTCCTAAACGGCCGAATCTGGACCTGTTTGTTTGTGGAGATGTGCGGTTGAAGAAAATCAATGCGATTTCTGCACATTTGCACAAACAGGTCCAGATTCGGGTGTTGAGGTAACTCAACGCTGCGAGTGGGACTTGGCCCCGCCTGTGAAGTTGCGCACCACGGGGCGGAAGAGGATCATTAATTAGCGAGCGTAATCATGTATTTAGCGCACGGGCGTCGTTTTTTTTGCTTTCAGTGAGCAGATCCTTTTGTTTGATTTATTGATTGAATGCGACAATAGATTAGTTGATTGATTGATTGATTGATTGGTTGGTCGATTGTCTGATCGATTCATTAGATTACTTGATGATCGAATGGTTGATAATTCAGTAATTTGTCGCTTGCTTGAAGACTTGAATCAAATGGTTGATTGGTGGCTGTTGATCGATCGACGGTCGTTAGATTGATTGAGTGATTGATTGAGTGATTGGAGTATTCGATCGACAGTCGTTTAATTGATTGAGTGATTGGAGTATTCGATCGACAGTCGTTTGATTGATTGATTAATTGATTGATTGATTGATTGATTGATTGATTAATCGATTGATTGATTGATTGATTGATTGGAGTATTGCCGGTTGGTTTGTCGAATGGTCGAAGACGTGCGTTCCTGTGGGGTATGTAAAACAAGTATGAACTTTGTGGCGATTTTCGGTTCTTTTTTTTTTTTTTTTTTTTTTTTTTTTTGAGGATGTTTTAACTTTTTCGTTTTTATTTTCTGGTTTAATTATATAATTTGATTCTCTATTTTCCCCAAACACTTTCCTGCCTGTTGAAATCTCTTGTACGGGATGTATACTATTATGTGGTTTCTAGATTTTCAGGACTGCCCTCGCTAGTCTAGGCAATGGTCCTCCTCTTTCAGGACTGCCCCTCCCCCCTCCTCCTTGTAGATCGGATGACTCCCCTTTTTCTGGGCGACCCTTCTTCACTCGAATAGAACGTACGGTCATTACAGCCGCGTATTTGGCTCACCTTTCAACCCAGATGCAGCGAAAATGACCCTACGTTCTATTCGAGGGAGGAAGGGTAGGGGTATGTGATCAAGCGAGGAGTCGTTTATGATAATCGTACTAGTAAGGTGCGAGATTTCGTCGTACGTTCATAATGTTTTTTTTTTTAATTTGTATTTATTCATAATAATGTTTGAATTAGTATTTGATTTGGAAAAAAAGAGCATAGTATCCTCGTAGGATCTGAATTAGTAGAGAGCCCAGAGGAAAAGCAAGTTTTTTTCTTTTCGTTTTTTTTTTTTTTTTTTTTTTTTTGGAAAAGCAAGTTTTTTTTTTGATTGGTTATTCTTTTCGGAAAGGGCGACGGTCCTGAGATATGCCACAATGAACTGACCGGCCGCAGGTAGTTTAAAACTAGTATTGTAAAACAAACAAACAAACAAACAAGTATTGTAGTCTGATTATCTGATTGCATGTAGACACGAACTTGGGTCAGCAGCCACATCACATATTATGATGGCCATGCGTTCTGTTCGGGACGAGACTGGCAGATCGTCTCCAGGTGTGGTGTGGTGATAGATGACGACCGAAATGAAATGGATGTATGTACTCAGGACTCGATCTGATGACGGCTGGGTTATTAATATACTGACATCAGTTTTCCGATGATTGACCTTGACCATGGTTTCAAATGACTGATCGTGATTGATAGTGATCGAGGAGTCGGAGCGAAACATACAGTAAGTAATACTGTTGTGGTATTCGCACTGGTACTATTATGTGCATCATCAGCTTGGATAACACTTGCACTGATACTTTTTCGATTGAATCTGCCCTGAAATCAGGTTAGATACATTAAGAACGATGCTGGGGTATTAGCACTGGAGGAGGCACAGAGAGAGAGAGAGAGAGAGAGAGAGAGAGAGAGAGAGAGAGAGAGAGAGATTGAATCTGTCCCTGAAATCAGGTTAGATACAGTAATAACGATGTTGGGGTATTAGCACTGGAGGGGGGAGAGAGAGAGAGAGAGAGAGAGAGAGAGAGAGAGAGAGAGAGAGAGAGAGAGAGAGAGAGAGCGACGAGTGCAAATTTCTGCTCCACCAGTGGTCGGCGACTTAGGCCTGTAAGTCGCGCCGCCGGCTTGAGCGGCGGGCGTCAAGGCGGTTCCCACCGCTCAGCAAAAACGTGGCTGGCACATTTTTTTCTTGTGGGTGGTGTTTTAGATGTTATTTCAACTTACGTATACGTATATGTAATTGCTAGTGTTTTTATGTTTTATTTTTCATTCATGTTCTCATCTAGATGAAGGAAGTATACGCTACTTCACTCATATTGGATTAAGCGAGCAATGTCTGATCCATTCCTCTTTCTTTGCATATATTGCTAAGCGATGTGTGATCCATTCATAGTACTCTGGCGCATATATTGACTAATCTACAATGTTAACTACTCGTTACTCTGGATTATAAATTGACTAATCCACAGTGTTGGTTACTCATTTCACTGGATTAACATCCGAAAAAGTTTGTATTAAGCTAAGGTCGGATTAAGCTTATGCGTGATAAATGCCGGCCATGGGAACAAGCTTGTCGTGCTCGGAGGAACTCTCGGCGCCCATTGGATTTACAGTAAGTCATGGTTGCCGCTCGGTGCGCAATGGATCACACATTTGTTGATGAATACCTCGCGGCGCGCAATGGATCAAGTTATCAATACCTTTCGGCGCGCATTGGATTAAGTTATACATAATATGAGACAATGCTACCGTCTTTACCCGAATAGAACGCCCGGTCATTATAGCCGTATTTGGTGCACGTTTCAGTCTAGGTACAGCTATAATGAGCGGGCGTTTTATTCGTGTGAAGACGATAGTAGTAGTGAGTCCTTGAGAAGTTGATAGTGTACGTGGGTGCCTGTGAGTCTGCAATTAGGAACCGGTAGTGATTTGTGGCGATGACGTGGGTGCCGCTGACGGTGGCAAACGGTCACCAACGGTGAGGATAATAGGCGGTGGAAACAGCAAGATCGCGCGCTGAGCATCGCACACATGATGGATCCCCTCTTCCCTCGAACACAGCGCACCCTGATCATGAATGCATGCAAGCTATCTTTTCCGGTGCAGCAGTCTGATGAGGGTGCGTTATGTTCGGGGGAAGAGGGTAGGCGTCCCCAATCATGGATGGGGTTAGGTGGTTGTACTGACAGCGGATGGGGGATCTGAAGGCGATGGACTAAAGACGTGACGGTGGGCGATGCCGGCGAAGGACAACGGTTTTAGTGAGCGACGGCGATGATGATGATGATGATGATGATGATGATGATGAGGAGGAGGAGGAGGTTGAAGATTCAGGCATTGATTGATGATCATGATGATTAGTGACGATAATGCTGATGATCAGCGAAGGTGGAGCTGCAGTGACGCTGAGCAGGATCAATTAGATGACGAAGATGAAGATGATGAAGAGCTTCTATGTTGATATATACGCGTATGTATATGTATCTGTTAGATATATACACGTGGGCGGCCTTGTACGCAAGAGGTTCTGAACAGGGGGAGTTATAAGGAAGAAGAAAAAAAATTGAACTCAATTTTCCCTGGTTTTCTTTTCTCCTTCTTTCTTTTTTTCGCATTTGCGCTCTGATATTCTTGTGACAATATATGAACAGGTAGGGCTTTCCTTCCTTCCTTCTTTTCCTTTCCTTGTTTTGCTTTTTTTCGCCTTCGCGCTCTGATTCACAGTGTGACAATATATATGGGTGTGTTTATCGCTCTGATTCACAGTGTGAACCACTATCATGCACATAGATGAGAGGTTATGAGACCTGGCTGAGCATGTGTGGCAGGCGTGTCAAGTCAAGAATGTTATCTGGTCCCTTTTTTTCTGTTTTTTTATTTGTTGTTTATTTGTTTGCATTGTGACAATATATATGTGTGTGTTTATCGCTCTGATTCACAGTGTCAACCACTATCATGTACATAGATGAGAGGTTATGTGTCCTGGCTGAGCATGTGTGGCAGGTGTGTCAAGTCAAGAATGTTATCTGGTCCCTTTTTTTTTGGTTTTTGTTTTTGTTTATTTGTTTGCATTTTTTTTTTTATTTTTATAAAGAAAGGCCGAATGATAAAATGCAAGTAGAGCAGAGGTGATGACCTAATTTCGCATGTGCTGGTCAGTTATATCAAAGATTGTCATCTAGCTCTTATTTTCTGAAAAGGGGGCATGCTTTTTTTGTTGTTGTTGTTGGG